ATCCATTTTACATTTTTATAAATGGGTAAGTCATAGATTTGAGTAAAAAACAAAGCAATAGTTCTTTCAGTTTTTTAACTTCAGCTCTTATTAAATGATAGGGCGGCCCTTTCTTAAAAGGATCAGAAATCACGACTGAATGACTTGGCTTCATCCCAACCGTCCATGCAACTATTACAAGGCCAAACGACAATTTCCATTTTGCAAATATCATGTTGCTTTTGTCGAAACAATCTGGGGTAGGGGCCCATTTAGTGGTGGGCCGTGAAGCCCATTGCGTTTACAGGAATCACATGATCTATATAACGGGGAACAGACGAGACGATTAGACGAACGCTTTGCATGAACGATATGATGGCAGTCGGTTTGATTTGATGACCGACCACCAAAATAATTCATCATCACCACCTAATACATAAAGACTGTCCTCCTATCAACATCTTATGAAAAAAAAAAAAGGAATAGCACTGTGATTCCGTCTTTGTTGTGGGTCCGAGCCCATTTCTGCATGTGGGCCATATACTGGGTCCGTGATGGTATTGAACTGAACTAAAGTAGGAAAATGGTAGTAGGGACTAGAGACCATCCTTTTGGCTAACTGGAGTGTGGAGCCCGGTGTGATAGGGTTCTTTTGTAGGTTGTGCCGACAAAGAAAAAAAAAAAAGCTGCTTCGGTATGCGTGGATGGGTTTGCAACTTGCAACAGGCAACTGCTATTTGCTAAAGCCATGGCGATTTCAGTTTCCTTTGAATTTTGATGAACCATACGGGTCACTGGTTAGTCCTTACAAAATTTGAGCCACACATCTGGAATATTGGAATTTTTTAGTCATTATTCAAGATGGGCCCGAAAGAGTTTTCCAATATGTGTGGTGTGGCATATACTTAGCACATAAAATATGCAAAAACAGAGGGAATAAAGAATCTGTATCTTCGTTACTTTACTTTTTGTTTTAAGTGGGTGGGTTGAGGGGGAGGAAATTCAGAATCAGCAGGAATTATCGTGTATTGATTCCCGGGCTTCACGTCAAGGTCAAGCAACCTACAATAATGTTCCTTCTTTGATGCCAAAACACTAGAAGGGAAGGATTGCAGTATTGCACTCATATGCCCTTGAAGGTTCAAAGTATCGATACGATATTGTATTGGTATTTAAAAACGATCGATATATATATACTTTTTAGTTTATTTTTTAAAGTTTAGTTTTTTGAAAAATTTATAAAATATTTTTTATTATTAAAAAAAATTAGGGGTCTAAAATACCTAGAAACAGGTGTTTTAGACCGTATTTTTTTCAAAAGATACAACACGATACGCCCCATATCAAATGTATCGTATCGATACTTTGAATTATGCATCCCACAGGCTGACAGCCACATCCCTATTCTAGAGGCTGCACAATGTGGCCCTTGCTCCATTGGGTTGTGAAATGAGAGGATAAGGAGAAGAAATAAACCAAGGATATTTTTAGTTAATAGGTTGATCAGATTTAATTTTGTCAATAGATTAAATATCATTAGCGTATATGAATCACTTCTATCATAGTAACTAACGGAAGGCAGGTATCTTATAAATATTTTCAAATCAGCCCCACACAAGACTGCCTCCACAATGTCTCACAGCACATCTTCGCCATGTATTGAGAATATCTCTCGATGATAATATCTGGAATGATGATGTCATCATCGAGAGATGTTCCCAATACACAACAGGAATGTGTTGTGGGACATTGTGGGGATCTGTTTTGTGAATGGCTGATTCGGTCTCCTTATAAATAAAATTTTCTGACAATAGTGGTGTCCAGGGGTATTGAAAAGTCGGGATAAATTTAAAAGAATAAAAAAAAAGTGATTTTCAGATGAAGACCCTTCTAAATTCTAATATTAGGTCAGTACCAGGTTGACCCTGTACCTAGTTAATAATGGCCCCATCCAATTAAGGGTACATGTATGTGTATGTAGTAAAAAAAAATTCCCTACATTGTCTGTCATATTTTGCCACTTGGAGGGATGATGCAGTTAATTTGAGTCTTCATGATATATGACACCTTGGATTACAGTTTTCACCAAGTAACGATGGTAATAGAATGTTTTATTAATTCAATACTAAATTTACTCAAAAAGATTTTTTTAATAGCCACGTTGAAAGTTTTTTAAATTCAAATTTGGTCCTTTAATAGAGTATAATGAGAGGAATCTGTAAAAGAGGCCTTAAATTTTTGTCTAAACTTGTTATTTGCTAGATTTTTGTTATTATCAGGTTTAGGAGTCATCTAGAAAACCTTATTGACAGGTATAAGGTTGCGTCAAAATAATCAAGATAAGTACTGCCATCGCTACTCCATCCACTCCACAAGCTACTAAGCGGCCAGTTGATAAGCGCCGAAGTGCTGAATTGAATGACTTATTACTTTGCTTTTTCAGTTTATAGAACAACATGCACTATTTTGTTTAAGGGCAGAGTAATCAACCCATGATGGATCATTCAACAATTAAGGAATTCACAAGTTAATTAATTACTTATTCACAAAAAATAAAACAATAAGTCATTCAATTCAACCATTATGAAATTGTCCTGAAAAGCTGGAATAGTTCGTAGGGTATCTGGTCAGGTGCATATGGAGTTTTAGAAGCGATTGTAAAGCTCTAACAGACAACGTTTCATTCCACAACCTCGCATGGCACATTGAGAAGGTGAAAAGAGGGAAATGATTCATTAATTCAGTAAATTTAATTACTTTTAGAATAAAAAAAAAACTACTTACAAAATCATATTACTCCAAAACTGCAAGCACCAATAAAATATTCAGTAATGTGTTCCCCTGTGTATTCTTTTATTAGAAGCCCTATTCCCCTATATGTTCAATCCAAGGTTTTACATTTCAAAAAATTCGTTCATTTAAAATCCAAAATCTGTTAAAGAGTTTTTATAACTTGGGTTTTTTTGGAACGAATTGTATTTTACAAATATTTTAAATGATTGATAATACTTTTCTATACTTATATTATATAGGTTCTTTTTTGTGTAGGTTATATACACAAATCTGTAATTAGGACAAAATATAGGACAAACAAATTTTCAAGAAATGTGAAAATTATTCTGAAATTATATCACCAAAAATTTTAAAAGATTTCATCAGTCACAAACACAATAGATGAAATAGAAATTTTGCAAAATTTAAGCCATGATTTAACTTCATTGTCCATTTGCAAGACGCAGATGCTGGAACGTATAAGTTACACTATTGTCTAACCTAAACAACTGGATAAAGACCTAAACTTCTGCATTGTGGGCTTGTAGTTGTAGCAAGTAAGCAACTGCACCAGCCTAAGGTTTTAGCATCGCACTAAGCAATGGTCAGTGGCCCCTAACGATGACAGATTATTATAATGGAAATAATGCAATAGGAGTGGCCCAGACATCTTAAACTTTGGACTTTGAACAGGGGAATAGTTATGAGATAGATAGATGCCTCAACCATTACATCATACACCACTGTGAAATATTCTCACTATGATATTGCAATTGTCGTAACTTATACTTTCAAATGGAAGAAGTTCGAAATTGCAGTAGGAAGCAAAACATCAAACGCATCGTCTCCAGTCTGCCATTACCCAATCAAATCAACAAGGTTTTGGAATAGGGTCGGTCAAATTGGACCAACCCAATACAATCAAATAGATAGTACTGGCCTATCAGAATTGGGGCCTGTCCCGTCCCAGCCAATTCACGAGTTAGGTGGGCTGGATGTAAATGGAATTGAGAGGATTGAGGATATTTATTCCCTAAAAAAATTTCAGAGAGGGTATTGGAGAATGAAAGAAGGTTTTGATCCCAGATTAGTGGTACTGATACTAGGAGTGGAAAATAGAAAACCAACCATATTGGCAAACACTCCCCAACGCTGTGTTTGGTTTGAAGGAAATAGTAGGGAAAGGTAAGGAAACCCATACAAGTTTTGTAAAGGTTTCTTACCTTTCCCTACCTTTTCCTTCAAACAAAACATAGCCTACATGATCTGTGGAGATTCAAGGAATGGGTGTTGCGGATAAAACTGATTTGCATTGAGATTTTTAACATCACACTGAACTTTTGATATGTCAAGTTCGGATATGACATACCTGGTTCTGAATCAAATCCCACTAATATTCAGATTTTAACTGAAATCTATCCGTCCAATTCATATTACACTTGAATACTAAATATTATTAATAAACTAAACTAAAAATAATATACTGGTAAAAAGATGAGCTGATGCTGGAAATGATTTGATATTCATTAATAAAAATGAATTAAAAACAGCATCCAAGATACTTGAAGTTTCGTTCAAATGATCTTCATGTTTTAAAAGGATCAAACAGGATCTAGCTTTCTGAAGTTCTAAAGGAATTGTGATCATCATTTGGATGGTGTAAACAACCTACAACATAGGACCTAATGAAGCAAAAACAAGGCCGATTCATTGACCAACCACAATCCATGTTCTCAAATCTCAACACAAAACACTAAATTGGTCACGTATAGGTCAATCGGGGCTCCTTGAGATAATAATAAAGCAATTCAACCACAAAATATAAACGTCACGTCGGATATCTGGATTGTTGGTTAGTCAATATAACAGATTGGGTGGATGATTCCCCTTTTATTCGTCTAATTTCAAAAGCCCTTGTATCCCTAATTCTTTCCAAAGAGAAAACAATAACACCACAAACAAAAAGGAAGTAACCTGACATCCCATTGCTTAAATATGTACCCAAGAAAATATAAGACTTCACTTTCCATGTACCCATTTAACAGGAGGAAATTGATGGACTACTAGAACTGCTAATAACTTAATCTGTATTTAAATACAGGCAGGTCGCATTAAAATTAAATGTAATATATACTAGTTTCATAGTCTTCTTTCCTTGAAGGCATTCAAGCATGACAGTAAAAAAGCACCTTCCATTAAGCTTTTCCCCCTGCAATAAGGTCCAGTACCACCCGTTTGATACTTCCACCATTCTTAATCAGTAATTTCTTGTTCATTTCTTTGTCATGAAATCCCTGCAACAGACAAATCCATTGAAATAAGCTACCTTCCACAGCCAAGTAAACATAACATGAAGAAACAGAACACAGTTAAGCTGATATAGGACCTCCCATGCACTTGATATGTTTTAAGAATTGCATCTTACCATCTCTTGCAGCTCCTCTAGGATTGGAAACCACTCAGCAACACCGCAGAGGTCATCCACAGACTTCTCCAAGTTGTAATCATTCATCCTCAGAATTTCCTTGTTCAAGTCAGCCTGCTTGAACCCCATTTCTTCAAGCTCCTTGAGAAGGGTTTGCTCAACCATGTTAGCCTCCGTGACTTCTTTACCCTTGAGAGGTGCAGGATCAGATGGACCAATAGATAAATCTATGATGGGATATGACACTGATGCAGGAATTTCCGAAGGAACAGAAGCTGAAGCACCACCACCAACAATCAAGTCATCGTTTATGGGAAATTGACTGTCCTTGTTTGCATTCTCGTCAAACACTGGTTTCACTAATTCCACCTCTGCATTAGAGATGATGCCAGAGCCTAGATTACAACCATCCATAGGATCCGCATTCACATCTATGTTCTCATGGTGTTTTGGTTCAGTGCTCTCAGCAGGTAAGTTCAAGTTCAAGCCATGGAAACTCTCGGAAAATGAGTTCTGCAGAGACGCATCCACCTGTATCCACATGAAAGAAAATGAGATTACAGCTAACTTTTAGAACCAAAACTAACTTATTTAAAAGAAAGAAAATAGTGGAAGTGTTTAGAACCTGGATAAGAACCCAAACACGCTGTCCAAATTTTTGACCAGATGGTAATGCCATCCTCCAGTATGAGATGTACCGACCGGGTTGTTCTGGTGTAGTAAAATCAACTGCAATATCTAGTTCCCTGTCAACAGAGATGCCCTCCAATGGAATATGCTGCAATGTTTATAAAGCATCATAATATTTACAGAAAAAAGAAATAACGTCTCAGTCAAAATCTCGAAAATAAAGGAATAAATATTAAAACAAAAACAAAGAAAATTAACATAATAAATATTTAGAGTCATACCTCTACATAAACAGAACCTTTATCAGTGAGCTGGTCTCCACCAATCCACACAAGTTGTGTGCCATGAGGCCATGGAATAGAACCATTGTTGCGCATTCTCCATATTTTGGTAAATGGAGTTGCTGGGGCCATCATGGTTCCATCAATGACATTTACATCTTGAATGAAACGACTGTCAATTTTTGATCGATATTGCTTCACTCCACAACCTCGCATATGTGGTAAAGGGGTAAATCGGGAATGGTGAAACTGCAAGGGAGGGGAGCATATAAGTAAATCAGGCCAATAAAAGATTATAATAAGCAAAACATAAATGATGAATCTCTTACAGGATCAGCAAACTCCTTAAATGAACGTGATGAGCGATAAGATATTGGATGATCAATTCTTCTGTATTCAGCCTCATTGCCCATTTCTGAGAAGCAAATACTGCAGAGGTCATAATCTTCTTTGCTGCAAAAATACAAAAATCCCAACAGAACTTATCAAGCACAGTGATTGAAAAACATCCAGAGAATTATCAAAACATATTTGATCTATCATTCTTACACTTTGGACTTGAATCGGGGGCCAGTTATTGGATGGATGCCGCAACCATCACACCTAACACCCTTATGGAATATTCTTCCCATGCTATCACAATTACCATAGCCCCTTTTAAATGGAGGAAAACGGGTGTACCCACCAGGAGGGAAAACATCAGAGACATCTACTGCTCCAATCTGCCCATAGTTGTTCACAGGATTGAAACTAACTTGTGATGAAGAATGTCCAGTACAGGTAGCAAGTCTCCTGCTGTTATCTTCATCCAAGACGCTAGAATCCCCCAAGGAATAAGATTGGGGGACACGTGGAATGGATGTATGAGAAACTGGATGAGAACGAGGATTAGGATGCACCAAATGATTAGCAGGAGATTTGGTGAGCTGTTCCAAAGTTGGAGCAGAAATTCCCTTATGATTATCATCACATTCCTCTTGAAGGTTCTTTCCATTGTCACTTGAAAGATCACTGTGCCCCAAAGCCCCAGCAGAAGTGACATCCACTGGAGGGCATCCAGGTACAGCTGAATCTCTTGGAAGATCCAGATTATGAACCATGGAGGTGGTTGGAGGACTCGAGTCTGAGACACCTTTGCTGATATTACCACTATCAGACTCCTGTTCATTTCTCAAATGAGTTGAATCAACAGGCTTAGCAATGGGCAATGTCTTTGGTATTATTATAGTGTCTTTTGAAACCATTGGATCCTTGATGTCATTGAGATCCACTGGGTTTTCTGAAGTCTTACTTTGTGTAGGAGACACTGCACTTGTCTGGTTCTGAGAAACTGAGCCTAGGTGAGATAGTCCTAAATAAGACAAGTTCTCAACAATATCAGCAAGTACTGTATTAGAGGATACAGCCTTTGATGCCAAATCAAGGGAGAGCTTTGATACTGCATCAAGCAAAGGCTCTGGCACAGATTTCAAGACATCAGCAGCACCAGAGTTGATGCATGACAATGAATGACTGTGGGAACTTTGGGAACGGGGTGTTCTCATGGGAGTAGAACTTCCACTTAATCTTGTTTCAGATCTTCCAGCTCGATTACTGTTCAATAATACATTTATCCTCAGGGGATTCAGGCACTGCTTAAATGCGTCAAGCAGATCATCTTCATCCACTAGTGTTACTACATCTTTGTCCTCATCAATATATGTCAGGGTAAGATCTGTATCAGGAGCAAATTTGAAGAGATAGAGGATCTTTACTCTTAGTCTATCCATGTCAAGATCCACGGATCCATTCTCATGAACATCCACATTAAATCGTCTAAGTGTATCACCATATTTAACCTGAAGCAAAGCCAGAAATGCAAATATTAAGGATAAATCTTCATACTGTATTGAACACATGACAACCAGGTGACATAACTCACAGATTGGAACAAAAGGAAACTCCATTCACTAATCAAAACAAGATGATTATGTAAATAGTTTATTTGACCATTATATAGCTGAAACAAGATGTCTTAAAATGAATGGTGAGAAAAACATGAAACAAAAGATGGAGGAAATATTGTGCACATGGACATATCTTGGATTCTAAATAGCTTAACAACACGTAAATACAACTCCCACTATGGCTAACCATTTGATCAACAACAATAAGTTTCTGACTCTATTTTCTGATCAAGAATAAAAAATAATAATTATACTGAACTTGAAATCAAAATTAACAGAAAATCCTAGAGACTTTATAATTTGTTTTATTCCAGTTTCTCTTTTTTACATTAAAAAGCACAGCCCAGTAAATGGGGCTCCCACCAATGCAGGGTCTGGGGAGGGACAGATGTGCGCAGCCTTGCCCCTGCACATACAGAGAGGCTGTTTCCAAGATTTGAACCCTGGTCACCCAGGTCGCAATGGAACAACCCAACCATTTTACTAAGGTCCGCCCTGTTTCTCTTTTCACATTAGATCTTATTAATCAAGCCAACTTCAACCGGCCATTAAGGAGATAGAACCTCCATAATTAATTATGCACTAAAAGACAAAGCAATGAACCACTCAGTTCAGCAAACTTGAATAAGATATATTGATTGCTTTCCAAATATTAGACTGTAACACACCCACCCAAGTCTAAGCGAGGAACATAGCATGCTAGAGAATGATTTGGTGATAATTTCCACAGCCCACATATGAATCCTATGCATATATCACGTTAAACTTCAGCCTTATATAGTACCACAAAAAACAAAGGATTGGTTTGATAGTTCCCACTGGTAGATGAAAATATTTGCGTGGGATTATTGTTTTAAATTCATTGATGCCCTTCAGTGTTATAGTCATGGATGATAAGTCTCTAGGTGCCTTGCAGGCCAGCCTCTAAAAGTCAAGAGGGAAGGCTATATGAAACTATTATTAATACTAGAATACTAACAAAAAATAACAATCACATAAAAATATAAAGAAAAGATGAAACAAAAAGGAAAATAAACAACTGAAACATAAGAACCCTATTATAATTTTATGGGGCTCAATCTCCATGACATTCAACACAATTTCTTCTTATATGGACTCTATTTGTCAGATTGGAACCAGCATGTTTAATGAATGATTTCCAAAAGACAACAACCCCGTTTGGAAGACCAATTTCTTACTCATGTAGTCCAGCTCCATATGTTAGTAGCAAAAGACACAAGGAAAAGGAATCAATCACAAAAAGCTTTGATAGCAAACACAAAGAAGTCGACAAGTTGAATATAGTAAATTAATTCATGAGGAACAGAAAAACAGATACACCAAACAAATATATAAAGGCCTTAACAAAAAATGAATTAGATCTTGACAATAGTCTTCACTATTACAGAAGTGGTACTTAGAGCAATAATTAGCTTAGCAGCAACAATCTAATCGTATGAATGAACAAAAACATATAGAGAAAGAGCATAAGTACGACCCTTGGAAATCTAAATTCTTCCCCCAAATAAGGGACTCGTATCAAATTACCCCATATCCAATACTCCCTAACTAAATTTCCTACCAAAATCCCAAGCATGCTGACTCTGATCCCATAAACAACAGAAAAATCTTCCAAAACATCTTATAATATCGTATAAGAAGCGTGTATCTTAGTGAATCCAATAAACACCAGAACAATAAAAACGTATGTAGTTCATGAAGAAAAAAAGGGAAATAAATCATTGAAAAAAGGGAGAAAATCAACCTTTATCACTATTTCAGCCATGAGGTATGATAAGTATTGGATCGGTTAAATGAGCGTTACTGTAAGTCGAAGCTCTGCGTGACTTCAATTCAAGAAGATCAGCAACATAAACCCTAAGTAAGAAGAATTGTTTAAGGTTTATTAGCGAGAGATATAAGCTTAGGAACGGGAGATCAGGAACCAAAGCGTAGCCGTAATCCGCTTTGCGCGCTTTTCCACAATGGCGAACGCACGCAGTTGGCCTCTCTATCTGATTTATATATGAAGAGACTAGGAGTAGTAGTAGTTCCGTTCTTCGGGTTTCCTTCTTCCCAAAGGAAACTGCAGGAATTGTGAAACCGTATCTGCATGACCTAAAAAAATAAATAAAAATAAATGATTTGGGACCCACAACATGCGAGCCGTGGCCTATTGGGACTTGGGAGCTTCTCAACTGGACTGCCATACAAAAGAAAATCAGAGCCCACGTAAAATGGATTTCACATCGAAGACTTTGGCTGCATCAACAACCTATCGTATTGATCCCAACTTGATCTAGAGTTTAGAGAATCAGATGGTTAGAATTACTTGATCTTGCTGATTTTCGGGTGGATGAACGATTTCTTGGGGTTGGCGGACTTTTATGATAGTGGGTCCCGATTTGTGTGGAGTGGAGCGCGTTCGCATCTTATCTTATGTCATGAAGCACTGTGGCAGTAGCCTTTGGGAGGAGAGGAAGGTCGGTTGCTGGCTTTATTTACCCGGCTCCACTTGATCTTTTATTTCTATCAAAATAAATATAAATTCCTGCCAAATTTACAAAACACTAGTGCAAAATACCCTTAATTTTTGTCCCTTTGTTAGTTGTTTTGACAAAAACAACCTCGGCTGGGGGGCTGCGGCTTTTACGGAATTACGGCCTCATTGAGTTTCGCTAGAACTTCCCGGGTTGGTGTGGCCGGCCCCGTACTTATCTGGACCTATTATTATTAAAGTCGGTTCAGGGACGAATTCCGACCCATTACATTTTATTACAGGGTCCATCAAGAAGGATTTGTTCTTGCCCCAATAGCTATTAAGACCCATTACATTTATCTTTTCTTTTCTGGTGTATGTACTCTCTCTCTCTCTCTTTTGACTTTTTCTTACTTTCTTGCTTCCACTATCAAATGCTTTTCTTTAGATTTTTTTTTTTTTTTCTTTCATGTCTCTTCGATATCAATAGTATAGAAGAAGCATGAAGAATGGTATCGTGAGCTATACAAATTTTCAGGGCCCACGAAGTGACTTGGAGCAGAAGTAACAAGGACCATCATAGTCAAAATATATCCTACTGGTCGTCCAGTTTGCTACCATTCAAACGCTATACAACGCACAACCAACTGATAGTGACTTGGTGGGATCCTAGGCTGGTTGCAATGGGCTAACTCTTCTGGGGAATGGCTGCCCACATTTATGGGACTGTCAATGGGTTAGGTCTCGTCTCCCTGATAGAGTTGAACCAATTATGTTGGTTTTGGTTTTAGACTTTTGTCGCCATTAACAAATTGGGTCAAGACCAGTTCTCGCTGTTCTGAAACGTAATCTTAAGTCTTAACAAACCAGAATTAATTGAAAACCATTTCATTGACATTGTTGACATAACAAACCAAGGTGGACTCACTTAATTATACAAAATTGAAATGAAATAATTCCATTAGTTTAAGTAATTATTTTCTTGTTCCTTTTTATCCCGCATCGTTATTAGCTACCATCCATTGTTGTACAAACAATTTAATTCTGGCGGAGTCAAGACTCTTTGCCGGCGTTAATTTGATAATGATAAGCAGGTAATTAATAATGCACAGATGAGATCAAATGATTGATGACGACTGAACTGATGCAATCTGCACAATGAAAATTTGTATCAACTGCATGGACGATCGAAGAACCCGGAGCCAAGAGCCAGATTAAGCTATTAAAGGCACCAACTGTGTGTATTTTGGAGGAAGAATTTATAAATAGCTTGCTGATGAGAGATTCATCAGCTGGGAGCGATTCTTGATGATGAAGTTCTCACTTCTCAGTACAGGAAAAGCTAAGTTTTGTTTTCACTTTTCATGCATGCGCCAACAATTTAATATTTTAATTAGTAGGGGAGAGAGAGAGAGAGAGATAGAGAATGAAAAATAATTGCGAAGGGGGGCGATTATATATATTAAGCTGAGAAATTAATTAAAGGCTTCGATAATTAGAGCAAAGCGTTGAAGGCATAAATGGCGACATCAAGCGTGATCTTCTGTCCCACGACCACATATATAAACTGATGAACAACAACGCCTCCTTCCTCCTCCTGGCCCAGTGGCCCTGATGGCCTTATTCCTGCAAATTAAGGAACCCGGGATCAAGACAGTAAGCCACGTCATTATGCATGGTGGCTCGGACGGCGACAATGAGCAATTAAAGGCTAAGTCTGCCACAGCCAGAGCGAGGAGGAGTCTGAGGACGACGAAGACGAAAACAACCCGTCTCCAACAAGGACAAGAAGATCTGTTGGCGTTTGATGAGCAGTACGTACAAGGTGATAGCGTAGGAGTAGGAGAGGACGATGAGTATGACCACCATTCACCAACAATGAGAGATGAACAAATTAAACTATTGTTGGTGGAGGTGGAGGGAGTGACTGGAGTCCTTCGCTCGCTTGTCACCTTCCTCATCATCTCTCACATTCTCAATTTGAGAGGAAAAAAAACATTAATTAGATTTCAGTACAATAAGAAGCCTCCACGATCCTTCGCTCGCCTTGCTTTTTATTTATTTATGGCCTCTGGCCCTCTGCACTAGATTAGATAGTGATTTCAATTGGATGGATTGTTTTCCACCGTCCAATTTAGTGTGATTAGATAGTGATTTCAATTGTATTCTGGCAGTGGGACCCGATTAATTTATTATACGATTTCCCCTATTTCCCTCCGCCATGCCGCATGTGCATCATATGCCTTCTCGGTTTGGTTTTTTGCTTTTACTTTTTAGCCCAAAAAAAACATAAAAACAAAAATCCAGATCATTCTCGTTATGTGATGCTACGCTGCTGTTTGCTACCTACCAATCAAGTCATTTCTCGTGCTTGAAGGTACGGGCTACTTAGATGGAGGTTAATATGGAGATCAAATCAGCCCCCCATGAATCATATAACTGTTGTGCATTGAAGGCAGTTGGTAATATCGAGACATGAGAGAGTTGGACATCACTTTCAAAAGTTTAAACCATTAATTTGTTGGCCAATCCTTGTAATACAAATCTTTTGCATCTTTTAATGTAAGACTATTCTCCTCATACACTCTTGCCTCTATCCCAACAATTTTATACCGCAAAATCTATATTTATTTTAAAAACTATCACTTTTATGGTTTCCAAATATGTATTGTTTTTTTGAAACAAAACCAAATTATTTTTATTTTTATTTTTTGATGATGTGGTAATTTAAAAACAAATGATAACAAAAGCATTCATCTTGTAGAACGCCAGCTCAATTGTTGATACAAATATAGTACGGTGGATTTATTTTGGTCACAATTTTAAACTTTTTTCAGAAAATTTGGAGTTTGAAAACTTATTTTGTCTGAATTTTTAGATATAGTATTAAAATAAATAAATAAAAATAATATAGACACGAAGTACCATAAAAAATAATATTTAAATATAATAAAATCATTAAGACTTGTGGGAAAAAAATCTGAAACTCTGAAGTTTAGAAGAATATCATAGACCAGGGGCCCAAAATGGCTGAAATTCTAAAAATTAAAACCTTGCTCAAGACTGGTCTGACGGTCGAGGTTGGCTGAGAAGAATGATCAACATTGGTTAGAACATGTTTCTAGATGTGCCATTAATTGAATTGAGAAAAATGATGCTTTAGGAGAATGGTAATACAGAATGGCCTAAAAGATGATGCTTTAGGAGAAAAACATGTTTGTAGGGCCCAAAATGGCTATTTTATACACTTTGATGTTACTGATTCTGAAGTTATTTTGTGGACATGGGTGATTTCTTTTTTCTTTTTTTTTTTTGGTGAAAGAGAGATCATACTAAAGGAACAGTCCAAGTCTTTACATTCATCCAGAATATCTTTACAAAAAAAAAAAAGAAAGCATCAGGAGCTTCAAAAGGACCCCTACTGATGACTTTTGCTAATTTAACTCCTTGGAGACAGGCATAGGCTTATGCTTGAAGAGAATAAACTGCAATTGAGGAACCAAAAATGATGGCTTGAAAAAGATCCAAATGGTTTCTAGCCACCACTCCAAAACCTGCTTTTCCCTCACTCAAAAAATTGCCATCTACGTCTAACTTCAAAACATTTGGCTCTGGGGTTGCCACAAAAAAGCTGACCTATCTTCTTCAGGCACTTGCAGAGTACTTGGCCATTTTTTCAGCAAAATTTTCTTCCTCTCCTTCCGAGCCCTGTTAAAACAAAAGATTTTTGTAGGGGTTAGGCACTTCATTATCAAAGACACATTTATTCCTACTTTTCCAAATTATCCACAGCAATAAAACCGAGTAGTTTAGCAGCTCTTCTTTTCTGTCCTTTGACTGAATGCAGGATTCAATCCATCCTGAGAACCAACCACCTATTGAATTCATTTGGAACTGTATCTGAGTTGTAACAAAAAACAGAACCAAACCATATACTCTTAGCATGGTCACATTTGAACAACGCATGCATAACTGATTATAGCTCTTTTGCATAGATAGGGCAGGTTATGGATTGAGTTAGCTTTCTATTTGCTAGGTTCATTCTAACAGTTATTGCTTTCCACATGCATCTCCATATGAAATGTTTAATTTTGGGATCTATTTTTAGCTTCCACAACACCTTCTAGGTTTCTCTGCTTTGGATGTGGGCTATGTTGAGTGGTTGAGTTGTAGAAAGGGATTCAAACTTTTCCCTGCTTGCTATGAAGTAAGCTGATTTAACAATGAATTTCCCAGAAGAGCTTCCCTTCCAAACTAATCTGTCCTCCCAGTTTCCTGAAGCTAGGGGATTTTTTTATTTGGTTTTCCATTTCTTTGGTGAAGCTGGCCCCTAAAGTGGTATAGTTCTAGCATCTTCTTTCCTGGTCTATTAGGTCTTTGACCCAGATGAGGCCATTGTTTCTAGGGCCAGGGCCCATTAATTTGAAATCTGGCAAGTCTTTTAGCCAAGGGTCGCTCCAAATCCTGACCTTCTCTCCTGAGTTACTTCCCAAAAAGCTCCTTTTTTTTAAGATCTCTTTCCCAGCTAAGATGCTTTGCCACCCCCATGAACCCCTACGAGGAAAATTATCGTTTAGGAAAATTTTCCCTTTTATGTATCTTGCTTGGATAACTCTACACCATAAGTTTTGATCTTCAGTGAAAAGTCTCCATGCCTGTTTGGCCAGGAGGGCCTTGTTGAAACAATGTGGATCTTTGAAACCTAGCCCTCCATCATTTTTGTTTTTGCTTATTGTGTCCCAATTGACCCAACTGATTTTCTTCTTTTCTAGGGAATCCCACCAGAATTTCCTTTGGGCTTTTTCCATGTCATCACAAAAGGATTTTGGAATCAAAAAACATGACATAGTGTAATTTGGGATGACACCTACGACTGATTTTAGGAGGACTTCCTTTCCTCCATTTGACAAGAGTAATTCATACCATTTAGAAGTCTTGGATTGGATCCTCCTTATCAGATGATTGAAGAGCATTTTCTTTGATCTGCCAATTGTTGTAGGTAATCTAAGATAAATTCCTGGGTGATCCACTTTTTTTATGTTTAGTCTTCTAGCCATAATCTTTTGAAGTCTTGGGTGAAGATTTTTATTGAAAAAAACCTCAGATTTTGAGAAATTTACCTGTTGACCAGAAGACCTTTCATAAAGTTGGATTGCCTCCACCAGATATTGACTTTCAGATGGGTTTGCCCTTGTGAAGAGGTATTTGTCATCTGCAAAAAAGAGGTGGGAAATTACTAGGCATTCCCTGTTTAGTTTCACTCCATATATTCTTTGCTGCAAAACAAGGTGATGGAGGCATGATGAGAGAGCTTCAGACACAAAAAGGAATAAATAAGGGGATAAAGGGTCTCCTTGTCTGACCTCTAGTCCAATGAAGGTTGTTAGTAACTTGGTATTGCTTTCTGCTAGTGCACAATTAGCGTCTGTTTGGCATTGTTGCCGTTGCTCCAGAAAACAGCGCCACATCGGAAAAAACAGTGCTCCAGAAAACGGGCATTTGTTAATGGTGCTCCAAGCCACGCCTCGGAAATCGGGAAGGCATGGCTTGGAGCAACACCAAATTTGGTGTTTCCTGGAGCTGGCAGCTTGCTACTGCCAACAGGGATGTGAGGTGGTAGTGACATGGCACTGGATAATGGGTACTAGTGCTGAAAACGTTTCCTGAAGCATTGGTACCAAATAAAAAAAGTTGTTGCTCCAGGAAACATCCTACCTGGTAGCAATGTTTTCAAACAAAAAAAGGCACAAAAACAACTCCCAACAAAAGTTCCAAAAATTTGTTTTAGAAGATGTCCGAAAAAAATTTGGATCTCTTCTATGAAATGGTTGAGAAGAAATTTGAAATCAATTTAGTTACCATGGTTAAGCTTTACTTGTGATCTCCAAGTGGCACTATCCTTTTTAGCTTTTCCACTCGAAGGATAGGATCAGAAATGAAATCATTTGAAATAACCTAGCAATAGCTCCAATAGGTGATAAAATGAGAAAAAAATAGAGTATGATGGTTTTGTCATGTGCATAAAACACCATTAACAACACCTGTAAGAAGAATTGATTTGTTGCAAGTTGAGAGAGCTAGGGGTAAAGTGGTAAACCAAAAGAACAGTCAAAGTAGTTAGAAATAATTTAAGTTCCCACAATTTAACAATGGATATCACATTAAATAGAATGGAATGGAAAAACAGGATTCAAGTTGCCCACCCATATATTTAACTCAACATGTAAAAAATTATCCTCTTTGTCTCCATCCACACATTAGGAGTTGCTCCTTGTGTATGTTAAACCTACAAAGAAAATAACAGAGATAAGTAAGAATTCACATTTCTAGCCAATAGAGAGTAAATTAGTTGAATTACCAAGCTTACATGTTGTGCTAGGAATAGTAGGACAGTTCATGCATTTGATCAATTAAAAACAACAAATTCCTGCTAGAAAATTTAAGCAAGATATAATGAGGGATTCAAAATTGGGCTCATTGTCCTCTCTACTCCATCTGCTCGATGGGGTGTTTCTAGACACTTCAAAACAAGACACTAGACTTTGGGCTCCTCATCCTTCAGGAGTTTTCAGTTGTGCCTCTTTTTTCAAGTCCTTGTCTTCTCCTGCCCAACTTGGGGTACCCTTCCCTTTACAAGAAGTTTAGTGTCGACCTATCCCCCACAAAGTGGGTTTTTATTGGGAGGTCTATCATAGTGCAATTAACACTAGTGATTTGATGCAGAGGAAAAGACCTGGTTGGTGCCTTTCACCAAATTGGTGCTATTTGTGCAAGTCAAATGGTGAGAATGCCTTTCATATTCTTGTCTCATGTCCTCTTGCTAGTAGTGTTTGGGATTGGTTTTTCTACCTTTTTGGATGCGAGTGGGTCATCCCGTTAAGCTTGGAAAGATTGTTTGAGCCATCTACTTTTAGATGGCCAAAGCGAAGAGGGAGAATACTGTAGAGATGCATAAGGGCAACAGCGCTATGGGTATTATGGGAGGAAAGAAATATGAGAATATTTGAAGACAAGGAAAGATGCAAGGAAGAACTAATAGAAAGTATTATGATGAAGGTGACTTCATGGATGAAAACACTAAATTTATTTTCGAATTTTACAGCGGATGATATAATAAGGAATTGGAGAACAGTTGCTAGCTCTTCCTCGGCAAAGAAGAAGGTCCTGAAGGATTGGGTGCCCCCTGAACCAGGTTTTATCAAATTAAACTTTGATGGCAGCAGTTTTGGAAACCCAGGAAGATCTGGAATTGGAGGGGTTATAAGAAATGAAGGAGGAAATGTGTTGGGGCTGTTTTTGGGTCCCATTGGAATTGGAAATTCCACTACAACTGAATTGAAGGCAATGGTATATGGGATACAAAAGGCTAAGGAGATGGGGGCGGAAAATCTGGTTGTGGAAGGGGATTCCAGAGTTATCATTAGTTGGCTAAAACAACAGGACAGCTCACCCTGGTTATTCAGAAATGACATCAAGAAGATTAAAAATCTATCCAAGGGCATGCAACTGTCAATTAGGTGGACTCCTAGAGCAGCAAATGGACTTGCAGACCAGCTAGCCAAACAAGGGGTAAACAGGGATCACTGTTTCTGGGCTCAACTGTAAGAGTGAAAAATCAACTTAATAGTGGATACAGTACATTGTAGTAGGGTAGTCGAGGCTACTCATAAACTATAACCCCTGTAACTTCTATTTTTCATCAATGAAATTTCTTTTTATTGATAAAAAAAAGCAAGATAGTTCATGCACCTCAAACAAATTGACTAGGGGTTCAATTTCTCCTTTTCCAAGGGAAGTTCTACTTTGGTCTGTGAGCTCCATGCTTGATAGTGTTGTTGCAATGAGAATCTTACTCATATCAGAACCTGAAAACAAATTTATAGAGAAAAACTAAGAATAGTCCTATATATTTCACCAATAACTACAAGCCAAACTTAAGTTTTGGAACTATATTTCACAAAGAGGTCAGCAGCCTCTGGATTAGAGTTGCAAATATATATATATATATATACTTTTAGGTTACTGACGAAGTGCACATAGACTTCCAAAATGCAGTTGCATATGTTCGTAGATATCAATATTTAACTTTGTATCAAATCAAAATTGTATTTAACGGTGAAAGAATAATTTTACCTTCAACTCTTTGACACAAAGATTCCTTAAAACTGGATCATCCAAGATGGTGGAGACCAGAAGAGCACCATAAACAGGTGGGTTTCTGCAAATGGTTCTGGCAATCTGTTGAAGTTGGTTTTTTGACTGCTATTGCTTGTTTTGCATCCATACAAATGATGTTAATAGATTGCAGAAACATAAAGAGTAGAGCCTTTAAATATTTTATAAGAAAATGTCTCCAATATTATTTGTATAACAAGATAAATATTTGCATGACAAAATAAAAAAAGAACCCAGGCTAGGGAGCATGGGTTGATGGGTGAGTTTTTTTTATTTATTTATTGTACAGGTCTCAGGACTAATTACATTAAGCTGCTATCATTTCAACTGATATGGTATCAGCAACAATAAAAAAGATGTCATATTCAAATGAACGTCTAATTTAACAGTCCTATTCAACTATTCATTAAATGCTATTAATATAGCGGTTCACCATTTACTTTTGAAGCGTTTGAATGGATCCAGTCATTTATCAGGAACACATACTGATGTGAAATTGAAACAACAATAACATGAGACACACTAACTACTTGAACTGGATAAATAGATCTAGCTAGCTGGCCAATTGTAAGTTTTCAAGGCTTTCTGGTTTGTCTTGAGTGCTTCCTTTATGATATGCTCAGGTAATTGATACATTGAGTGATCCCTCAAGGTATCAACAATAGGATTATAAGTCATTATTAGAATTTACATCACAAGGAGAGATTTATACTAGAACTGGCTAGTACACAACACAAATACACAATGCATAGCTAAGAATTGCTATGGATTGTAATAGAGTGCAATTTTTACATATAGAAGCACATTTTCTAAGCTGAAAGCTATAACCTAGGATCCACAATTTGGGATAACACTTCCAATATCATAAATATTAAAATTGACACAAAAATGAGAAAGGTAGGCAGCTAGAACTCCTCATACAAGATTCCATAAACACCAAACTATTATCCCTCATCCGTTGCCTTCAATTATTTAGGGGCTATTTGTACTAAAACACCTTGGAAATCAAATATGGTTTTTCTACTTTTAATTATTAGGAGTATTATCTTTTTAAGAAATAAAGCTTTTATTCAATGCTGAAGGTTATCGTGATCATCCACTAAAAGAGGTATGAGACTAGCCATTTATTAGACGAGCATCAGGGAAAGGAAGAGGTTTCCCTAAATCCAAATATTGATGTAAAGTCCGAAATAACCAAAAAGAAGAAAGAAGTCAAATGCAAAGAAAATTTACAATCACTAAATATATTACAGACTTGTTTTTCATGTGCTCAAGCAAGGGATAACTCTAAAATTGATAGAGGTAATTAGAAGACATGATTTCTTACTTTGATTGATGCCTTTCCTAGTAATTAGAAGACATGAATTGATAGATGCAAGTTATTCAATGAAAAAGAAAAAGGAAAATCTAAAGCCACCTTTAATTGTGAAATTTTACAATAAGAGAAGGAACATAATAGCTCAGGCAGGAAATTATATTTTCACTGGAAACCTTTAAATGTGAATCTCGCATTCACTTACAGTGAAACAAAAATGCCAAGAGTTTTTGAAAATGGGACTCTAGACCTTGGTGAAAACTAAATTAGTAAATGAAACATAAACTATTATATTCATCCATTTTCCCAAGTTAAAATACTTTTTTTTGTTATATCTAAAAATAGAAAAAGGAACAAAGAAATTAAACCAGGGGATCTATCAGTGTGAACATTGGCAGGTAGGTTGATTCTCAACCCCATAAACTTCTTTATGGGCGGTGTGCACAGACCAGCATCTTTAAACTTCTTTACATCAACAACTATACCAAATGACTTAAAGAAGCCAGGAAAAGGGTCACTACCCAAGATTATTTGGTAATGAAAGAAGAATATTGGAAGCTTTGTTACACAGATATGGCAAGGGCATGGCTGAATACGGTGTATATGAAATTTACACTAAAAATTGATGTATTCAACATGACACAGCACCCTTGTGGAGGTATTCAAGTATCATAGATTGAAAGGTAAAAGATTGTGAAAACAATAGATTCCAATAAGAGGAACAACCTATTTGCATGCTGCAACTGATAAGGAGAGAAATTGGAGTGTGAATAGAATAGAAAGAAAGCAACATACAGAGAAGAGTGGTTATTCAGAAACACCTCGCTTAAAAACACGAACAAAAGAAAAAACATCCCCAATTCATTGGACCCCTCACATGAAATAAAAGTATAAAATCAATCAGAGATGCAAAAGATAAATTTTTGTTACCTAGAGAAGAACTGAGCCAAAGCAAACTATTTTTCCCAAGACAAATAACTTAATTTCTGTAAAATTAAATCAGAGGTGTCCCTGTGAATGTCTTACTAGAGAAGATGGACATTGGAATACATTGGGAAAATCAGAAGCATAATAAATGGAAGCTAAACATATTATTGCCAATGCCAAAACAAGCATTTATCATAGTTAAAATACCCAGCCACCCATGTATTTAGTTTTTACAATGCTGCCCAGAAATAATGTTCCCTATGGACCCCTTGTTTGGCCAATGAATCTTCCATCCCGTTAGCAGTTCCTCAACCCATCTGAATGTTGAACCCACTTCCCTTGCTAGCTTCTCGATTTCCCCTCAAAGTTTGCCTATAGATCTGTTAGGGACTGCCTAACTCAGGGACTCTTTCGAGGGAGCCTGCCTCCTGAATGAGAGAGAGAGAGATAGAGATAGATAGATAGATAGATAGAGAGAGAGAGAGAGAGAGAGAGAGAAAGAAAGAGAGATTGTATTCCCAAATCCATAATCCCCTCCTAGATTCCTTTCCTTATTTATATACTGCTGTTACAATTCTGTTATACCCGCCTCTCCACTTGTCCAGTTTGATAGTTAGTTTGTTCTAGTGGTTGGCTGTTAGTTACATTCTTTAAAGGCTGACGTGGCATTTTCTTGTACACTTGTATTCCCTTTATTTGTGTCTCAACAGTCCCTCCTCCCTTGAAAGCGACCTTGCCCTCAAGGTCAAGATGTGGAAATCTATTCTATAAATCCAAGTAAGGTTCCCAAGTTGCATCCTCAATTGGGAGACCTGACCATACCACCAATGCCTCTGGTTTGATGTGATTCCCTTTGCATATCCACCTGAAATCTGTTCCTTAGGTTCTTGGAAGATCATTGAGAACTTCTGAAGTAGCTGCTGTAGTTGTGTGCGGCCTTCTTTGGATTTGCTTCCTTGGGCTAGAATGGGGCCGTTCCCGTGGGAGTCTATCTGCATTAATATGATGTGGGCTGGGTCTGCTGCCTGTTTCCTTAGGGAGGTGAGACTAATGGGTCCTGGACCCATGGACAACTGCCCTTGAATATGCACCTATGAGCTGCCCACTTGAAAATCCATGGTGAGGCGGGCCCAATCACATATCACCGGCCCTAGTTGCCTTAACCATTGGACTCCGAGAACTACATCTGCTCCATTGATTTCCAGGGGGTGCAGATCTACCTCGAACTCATGTCCTTGTATCTTCATCTTTAATTCTGTGCACGTACTGTCGCACACCAGGTTGCTCCCATTAGCTATGTGCACCCGGAAGGCTGTACATGGTTGGACCGGAATCCCTAGTTGTCTGACCAATGTTTGGGTAACGAAATTGAGGGTTCTGCCACTGTCTATCAAAACCGACACGTGGCGCCCTTGTACCAGTCCGGTTACTCTCATAGTTTGAGAAGAAGCAAGACCGGTCAAGGCTTGCAGGGATACTTTCGAGTATTCCTTTGTCCATTGTCCCCATTCTTGGTTGTCCATTGGCTCTTCAATGTCTGTTGATTGCTCGACATATTCGGTTTCAGGTTGAAGGAAGAAAACTTGAGGGATCTTACAGCGATGGCCCGACCCGAATTTGTCTCCACATGCATAACAAAGGCCCTTTTCCCGTCGGGCTTGCATCTCAGCCCAGGTTAACCTCTTGGCTGAGTCGGGGCCTGAACCAAAGTTGGCGTCCTTGCCTATGATTCCTACTCCTGATCTGGGCTCCGGTTTACCCAAGATACCTGGTTCTGGGTTCGGTATACCTAGTATGATCGCAGCTCCCAGAGGTTGATTAATTCTTCTTGCCCGATTCAGTTTGTCTTCATGTAGTTGAGCTAATGCTGCTGCTTCAAGAACGGTGGTGGGCTGCATGGATTTTACCTCCAGCCGCAATTCTTCCCCGAGTCCACCAACAAAACTGCCGACAAGCGCATTTTCTAGCCAGCCTTGCACGCGCACAGCTAATCTTTCGAATGCCATCTGATAATCTTGGACGGAGCTGGTATGTCGTAGCTTAGCGAGGCTTTCATCATAGTTCTCAAAGGCCGAGACTCCAAATCGCATGTTTAAGGCGTCAATGAAGTCTGTGAAGAAAACAGACCTTGAGAGTTTTGCAATGAGAGTTTAGAGAATGAGAGTTTCGAACTTACTCTCTCTCTAACACCCTAACACCATTTTATTAAGATAAACTTTGAATAATTACAAGGAGGCCCTTAGTTGGGCAAGAATTTACACAGAACATAACATAGAAAGGATGGGCCCAGAGTAAGGCCCATTACAGACAAGAACATAAACAATAAGAAAGAATAAAAGAATAAACAACCTATG